GTTTAGCCTTGGAACTCAGTTACACATCAGAGACCATTTAGAAACAGAATAAGTTTTTATTCAGCACAGAGCTTTGCAATTAGAACATAAAGATTTCAAAACAAGAAAGGCTAGGGCTGTTTGCCTTAACTTGAACATTAATGCTTCATAGTTACCATGTCAGGAACATTCATCAATCCAGAACAGTCCATTATGATAATCCAGGAGCACCAAGAGATTTTTAGTAGGAATCCCATCTTGTGTAAGCATGCATCCAGTTCACAAAGCATGTCTTTGTTCTCCCAGGGAGCTCACGAGCAGGAACAAGAACACAAGAGCAGCAGAGAGAACAGAACTCTCTCCCATTAGGAATGACCAGTTATAGGCCCATTCCAGTCACAAATTAGCCCTGGCCAGGAGCCAATTGCGAGTGGGCAGGGGAGTGGCCAATTCTTGGTTGTCGGGTGCAAGTGGGGATAGGCTGGGAGTTTTGGAACTCCTTCTACAGTCAGGTGACCCAACCTCCAGCCTTCCCCATCGGCTACGTGACTTCTGGCATGTGAGGCCTACCTTCCAGCATGGAAGTGTGAAGAATGTGGGTTTATGGCATGCAATTGAGGCCATGGGGCCCACCATTTGGCTTGTAACAGGAAACAAGGCATAGCCTGTTATCAGAAAGATATCACAGGAGAATGCAGGAGACATTTAGAAATCAATATTTCTATACACTCCCCCATAGGCCTATCTAGGTAGAACTTGTTGCCCCCTGCAGGATCTTTGTTCTTCTTCTTTGTACACAAGACATTGCTATATTCCAACATGAAGTACTTCTGGGGCTCATCCATTCCAATTTAGTTTCAGGCCTGATAATGGGAATGAAACCCTAGTGGATGACCTGTGCCAGAAGGTGGACTAAGGACGTGTGTGCCTGTTGATCCTCCTGAACCTCTCAGCAGCTTTTGATCATGGAATCCTTCTGGACCACCTTTTAGGTTAGGGACTGGGAGGCACTATTCTGGGGAGGGTTTCAGTTTTGCCTAGATGGTGGGTTTCAGAGTGTGATGCTTGGGGACTGTTTGGCCTCTGGCTTAAAGAGTCCCACAAGGCTCAATCTTGTCTCCCTTTATAACATCTACATGATGCTGAGAGAGGTCATCTGGAGATTTGGGCTACGTTGTGTCCAGGGGTCATTTCCTGTGGGAGCGCACAGGAGCAGAGTTCCGGCAGTAAGGAGCCCAGGGGGCAGACACATACAACAAGCCCCACCCCCTGCTCCCAGCAGCCCTCAGTCGGACCACGAGGAGCAAGAAGCAGCCAGGTAAGTTGTAGAGCCCCCCCTGCCTTCCTTCAGGTACAAGCTCTCCCTCCTCTGTGAGGACAGATCTGCACGTTTCCCCCCACCATTGCTAGCAATCCAAAACAGTCCAGTGGCACCTTTAAGACCAAGTTTTATTCAGGTACAAGCTCTCCCTCCTCTGCGAGGACAGATCTGCACGTTTTCCCCCCCCCTTCAATAGCTAGGAATCCAAAACAGTCCAGTGGAGCCTGAACAGTGGGTGGTACCTTCTGACACACTTCCGGTGATGTCAGGGGGTGTGGCATATGCAAATAAGTTTTGCTAATAAGTTATGCTAATGAGCTCCTGCACCTCCTTTTTCCCCTACAAAATGACCCCTGGTTGTGTCACCAATCTGCAGATGACACTCAGCTCTACCTCCTGATTCCAGTGGATCCCAGGGGGCTGTGGAAACCATGTACATTGCCTGGAAGTAGTTTTGGGATGGATGAGGACTAACAAGCTGAAACTTAATCATCATCATCATCATCATTATTATTTGCATTTACATCCCACCCATCTCGTGAGCAGGCTCAGGGTGGGTAACATCATTATAATAAATACAATTTCAATTTAAAACACGATAAAACATTATAACACTTAAGACAATGGGTACAGCTTGAAACAGCGTCAGTTGGATATGAAGTTCTGGCCCAGTGGTGCAGTGAGTTAAAGGCCAGTTGTCGGTGGTCAGTAAATAGACGGGTGACAGCAACCTCAGGGAGGCCATATATGGGCACCCATTGCCCCAACCAAAGGCCTGGCAAAACAGCTCCATCTTGCAGGCCCTGAGGAATTGAAGAAGATCCTGCAGGGCCCTGGTCTCAATAGGGAGCATGTTCCACCCAGGCTGGGGCCAGGACAGAGAAAGCCCTGGCCCTGGTTGAGGCAGGATGGGTGTCCTTTGGGCCAAGGACCACCTGGAGGACCTTTAGAGCATAATGTTCTTTGAGGCGTATATGGGAAGAGGCAGTCCCTTAGATATGTTGGTCCCAGGCCATATAAGGCTTTAAAGGTCAAAACCCTTGAGGCGAATCTGGTACTCAACTGGCAACCAATGCAGTTGGCAGAGTGCGTGCCTAACGTGAGCCTGGACAGGTGTTGATGTCAGCAGGTGCACCGCTGCTTTCTGCAGCAGTTGTAATTTCTGGATCAGCTTCAAGGGTAAGCCTGCATAGAGTGAGTTGCAGTAATCAAGCCTGGAAGTGACCATTGCATGGGTCAACGTCACTAGGTCTTGGGAGGAAAGATAGCCTGATCAGCCTGATCAGCCTACGATGGAAAAACGGAGATCTGGCGACTGCAGCAACCTGGGCCTCCTTGGAAAGAGTCACTCCCAGACTCCTCACTGTCTGGGCTAGCACCAAAGGCGCCCCTTCCAGTGTGGGGAGCCTGGTGCCCACATCCAGCCCCCCTTGACCCAGGTACAGGACCTCCGTCTTCAACTAACTGCTGCAACCATCCAGCCATAGCATCCAAAGCCTCAGCCAAGTTCGTAGGACAACCCAGCCAATAACTCTGGATTAACTGGGTGAGGGGGCACATATAGATGTTAAATAACATTGGCGAGAGGATCACCCCCTGCAGCACTCCACATTCCAGTGGGAATTGCGGGGAGAAACTCTCACCAAGCGCCAGCCTTTGTCCCTGACAATGGAGGAAGGAGGAAAACCATTTCAAGGCAGTCCCCTGAACTCCTACGTCAGCAAGGCGTGGATCAATAGATCATAGTTGACCATATCTATTAGATCTAATAGTAACAGCAGTGCCGATCCACCCCGATCCATATGTCTACGGAGGTCATCTCTAAGGGCAACCAGAGCCATCTCTGTCCCATGACCAGGGCGGAAGTCAGACTGGAAGGAATCAAGGATGGAAGCGTCATCCAGGAAAGCCTGGAGCTGTTCGGCCACCGCTCTCTCCACTTCCTTACCCAGTTACGGTAAGTTCAACACTGTGTGGTAGTTGGTTAGGAGTATAGGGTCCGAACTACTGCCTCCTTCAAAGCCTCTGGGAAAGCCCCAGTAGAAAGGGACAAGTTGATAATTTCTCCCAGCGGGAGTACAGAAGTGGAGGGAAGGTTTACTCAGAAACTGGGATGTCTCATGTTCTAGATGAGGCTGCACTCTCACTAAAGGAGCAGGTTTATATCTCAGGGATATTGCTGGACTCAGGCCTTCTGTTGAATAAGCAGGTGGCAATGCAGCAGGGGGTGTCTTTCACTAGCTTTGGCTGATGAACCAGCTGTGGTGCTACCTGTGCAAAAAAAAAATGATCTTGTCGCTGAGATGCGTGCCCTGGTGACATCTAGATTACACTACTGCAAGGGGGTCCTACATGGGGCTGTCCTTGAATAATTTTTGGAAGCTGCAATTTGTACATAGTGCTATGGCCAGGATGCTGACTGGTGTAAGTTGTAGGAACCATATCACTCCAGTCCCTTCTTTTCTTGATGACACATATGGAAGAAACCCTTTCAGATAAATAGGGTCATTATTGTGGTGTAGTATTCCTCAAGGCCACATCTTGCTTGTCCTGCCCCCTTTCTCCTATTTAGACTCTGAATGGGACTGAACAATTATGGAGCATTTTGGAAGCTTCCCGTATGTTTCTAAGGTTGCATTGTCCAAAAACCAAAAGGATCTGTAATTAGCAGCTTGACTTACAAAAACCAACATCTAATTTATTGGTTTATTTAGTACATTTTTATCCCACTCTTCTTCCAAGGAACTCATGGTGGTGTACATCATTTTACCTTCATTCTAATCTTCACAACAACCTTGGGAAGTAACTTAGACTGCAAGTGAGTGAATTGCCTAAGGTCACTCAGTGAGTTTTATAGCAGAGTTGAGTTTCAGACCAGGGTCTCCCATAGGATTGCCAGCTCTGGGTTGGGAAATTCCTGGCGATCTGGAAGTGGAGCCAGAGGAGCAACCTCAGGAGGGTAGAATGCCATAGATTCCACCCACCAAAGCATCCATTTTTTCCAGGGGAACTGATCTCTATAGTTTGGAGATCTGTTGTAATTCCAGGAAATCTCCAGGCCCCACCCAGAGGTTGGCAACCCTAGTTTCCCAAATCCTACATCCGCTCTAACCACTAGTCTTTCAAATGTGTGCTGAAGCTGCTGTTAAAGGAGCAGGCACCCGTGGGAAACTGCCCACAAATGGTCTTACTAATTAATGCAAAGCAGATCAGATGGGATGGGGTAACTATGGCACCCCTGAAGACATGTCAGGACTTTGTGGCTGGAAAGAGATTTTGGGATTTTTTTTAACTAAGGGTTTAGACATTGCTTCTTACACTGAACTATTTGATTTCTTTTATTGTTTTCTTTCTGAGGCTTAAAATGATCTTTTGCCATCTGTTATGAATATTGTGAGAGCTTTTCTGCTGCCCTGACACATTATTGACTCTCCCCTCCCCTCTCTGAGCTCCTCTTTGTAGCCTGTAGCTGTACTTTCCCTTTTCATTGGTGGACAATTCTTCAAAAGGGAAGAAGAGGAAATAGCAGAGGGCGCCAAATTGACTAACTGACTTACTGACTCTTCCTAAGGAAGGCTTTTCACTTCGCTTCTGTTTTGTGGGTTTTCCCGCCATGGAAATTCCAACCTTGCCCCCTCCCCCAGTCCAGAATCTCTATAAAGAAAGAGATGGAGGTCCTGGTGTGCTGCTTTCCCTTTCTGAGTTGGTGTCTGAGCAAACCTTTTCAAATCCTTGGTTACCTTTAGAAGAAACAGCATTCATTAGCTGTTAGAAATCGAAGCTGCCTCCTTTGCCATAGCATTTTCAATTTAAAAGCAAGAACAACCAACGTGGACAAATGGCCAGGGTAATTTCTGAAGTGACAGCGCTTTTATTCTTCTTCATGAACAGTGAGTCATTTTGCTTTGTCGCTTTATATTTGAAGGAAGTGGGAGATGAAATCAGCCTGCACTTTAAAGATATGCTGCCATAGCTGTATTTGAGGTGGATGTTTCTTCATTTTGGAAAAGGGCCGTTATTAATGACTATTTAAAAAAAAGATATTACATGCTCATCTTGATTGTATGATATGTGTATACTGTCATTGTTTTACAACTCAAATTATTTATACTAGATTATTTATTTATACTAGAAAGAATATAACAGAATATAAACTTTTGAAAGGGATCCACGCTTGTTTGAAAGTGACAACAATGATACTTACTCCCATCAAAGCATGCATAGAATGGCAGCTCTCATCTGTGTCTGTCTGTGGTATAATTTCCTCCCCAGACACTGCTTTGGTTGAATAGAAGATGAATTAAGCATTCAAAATGGGCAGTTACTTGATCCACTGTCATTGACATAAAGATATTGGAACCTCAGCCCTAGTTTGAAAATGTAACTATTTGAAAATGAACTATTTGCTCGGACGCTTGTTTTGCATGTTTATTCAGATGTCTCACTGAGTTCAATGGGACTTATTCCCAAGCAAGTGAGTTAGGACTGCAGCTTCAGGAATGAAAAGTTCTCTGTAAAAAGTAGATCAAATGAATGTGACTTCTTCAATAAAAATACAGGCGTGCCGGCAAGTGCTACCCAGCTGGACTTGTGACCCTTGCTGATCTATACCAATTCACTCATTACAGAATATACTGGTTGGGTCTGATCAACAGTCAGACAAGTCAGGGGTTCTTCTCGGTTCCTATTCATGCAGTACCCAATTCAGATTAGGTCCATGGGGCATGTGTCCCCTGCATACCATTTTCTGTAGCTGAAACAGTTGGGGGACGTTATTGGGGCCCACTGGAGAAACCAGCATATACCCCAGGGGATATGTGGCTTTCCCCAATGGGCCAAATACTGCTCTCTAGACAATTTCCAGTCAGGAAAACAGTGTGTGGGGGAAGGCTGAAGCTCCTTCTCTACACTCTTCTGCCCCAGTTTCCTGGGGAATAAGTCTAACTGGTCTCAGTGGGATTTACTTCTAAGCATGGGTCAAAATAGATGGACCCAGAAGACAGATGATTAGAAGCTGCAACAGCTTGGTGAGGCTGATTCAGAGTGCGGGTGTAGTGGATTAACCCTTTTCTCGTGGATTTACCTGATGCAAGTCCTCTCCCTCTCCCCACAGAACTATACAGCTACTGCTATATTTTCCTCTGTAGGAAAAACAAAACCGGGGGTGGGGTGGGGGATGAAATCTGGGAAGTGGCACAATGAGAAAGGTCAATTAACATACGCTCAGTGTTGTCCATGCAGCCCCCTTGGCTACTTTTTGTTTTTTACAACCTGCAGGAGAGATTTATCTCAGACTTCCTGGATACTGTCCAATTTGTCCTTCAATGTGCTCAGTGCAGGCTGAATCAACTCCTCTCACTTGGGTGCCATCCAGCAGACATTAGTCATGCCTAAGTTCTGTCGAGAGCAATAGAGTGGGGTTTTTCCCCTCCAAGATTGTTCAGAGATGGTTGTATCCATGGAATGTCAAAGCCGAGTAATTCTGATCAGTTCAGTAGATCTTGATATAGCAGCTACATGGTGCAACCTTTGTGCAAAGTTATTTGTGACACGATATGATGTCACTATATATGACACTGTATGATGATTATTAAAAAAGCAACAACACCTGGGAGGTCTGATTTGGATCAGCACCGTGGGACATGGGAGAAGAGAGATGAACAATTTGAAATGGCCCCATGGGGTGCTATTTGCCCCACTGAAGGAAACAGGGAGGTTTCCCCCAGAGAGGGGGGGAGGCTTAACTTGTACCCCCCCCATCTTTGTGCCACAGTCTCAACTGATTCTCTATAGGATAACAATGAATGTAGAAATACATCTTTTTTGTCCAACTGCAATTTACTACCATGCAGCCAAAGAAAGGAAGGATAACTTTCGCACCTTCCAACCATGCAGACATATCTCAGATAGGTTAATTGTGTTGACTTTTGCAAATACCTGTCCAAATGGCTGGAGATAGGTTGCTAATTTGCTCTAAACCCATTTGGACAACTGTCTGTCAACTTTATGAGGAGCAGCAGATGGGCAGATGTGGCCCACCAATGCTGATCCATCTGACTGTGTTTTCTTCTTCTTTCTGATGTTTCAGCCCAAGCATTTGATGTTAAGGAGATTGTGCCAGGTAGTGAAGTTGCTGCAGAGATAGGCAGCAAACTGGTGCTAAATTGCAGTGCAACTGGCTGTGAATCCCCAGCTTTCTCTTGGAGAACCCAGCTGGACTCCCCGTTAGGAGGGACTGTGAGTAATCAGGGGAGCCGTTCAGTCTTGACGATGGATCCTGTTACCTTTGCAAATCAGCATGATTATCTCTGCAGTGCCTCTTGTGGGGGCAAAAATAAACAACGGACAGTCAGCATTCGCATTTTCTGTAAGTTACTGGTTGTTTTGCTTTGTGCAGTTCTCATTCACAACTGTCCTAAATAATCACTCTTGGAACTATTAGGCAAAATGCTAACTTTTGAAAAATCCAGACATTTAAATGTATATAATCCAGTAAATGTATTGTCTCACTTTCTCTGTTGCTTTTTCTTTGGGGGGGGGGAGTAATGCTTTGGGGAAGATAATGCTTTGGGGGGGCATCAAACTGCAGCTGACTTATGGCAACCCCATAAGGTTCTCAAGGCAAGTGATACTCAGAGTTGGTTTGCAAGTGCCTGCCTCTGTGTAGCAATCCTGGACTTCCTTGGTGGTCTCCTATCCAAATACTAGCCAGGGCTGACTCTGTCTCGCTTCTGAGATCTGACAAGATCAGGCCTACCCAGGTCAGGGTGGTTAAAGCTTCTGTGGAACACACGCACACACACACACACTATGATGATATTTTTTATGTTCAGAAGCTGATGTACTTAAACGATCCCTCGCTCCCTTTAAAAAGCAACCTGCCATGCGCCAAGCAGTAGCCTTGAAAGGGAGATTTGTTTCAGGATCACTTACATTTTTAAACATAAAAGTTATATTTGAAAATTTCCCCCTGAGCAGTAGGGGGGAAGGGCCATAGCTGGGCAGATCAGGTGAGTGGAACTGAGCACTACCCGTTTCGGAGGGCACCAGCTCTCGCTCGTCTTCTTAAAAAAAAAAACTTGAAACTTTCCTATTCTGAAAATAAGATGCTGGCCGGGACTGGTTCTGTGGCCATGCCACCCAAGCCATTCAACTGCGGTGTGTGTGTGGGGGGCACAATCAGCAGGATTCTGAGGCATCACAGGGGTTAGCAGCAGCACAGGAGGGGGTTGGCAAGGGGTTGCTTCGGACCCAGCTGGATCATGGTTACACGCCTGGGAGGGGATGGGTCTTTGCAAACTCTGCAGAGTTCAGAAGATGTCTGTCTGACGAACACTTGTACGGAACCTCCCTAATGCCGTTTTGCTTATGGGCATTGCTTTATCCAAAGTAGCCCGTACTGAGAACGATGGAAATCTAAACAATTTTGAATCCTGGGTGTAGACCGTATTCCCAATCTTCATTCAGATGTTGCTGGAATTTCACTAATAACTTATTCGTTTTCTTTTCTTTTTTAGCATTTCCCAGTGATCCCATCATTGAGGTCAGTGGCCCACTTGTTCTTGGGAAACAAGCCAGCATCACCTGTAGAATTCTGAATGTATACTCTTCGGCTGGACTGGATGTGTACCTGAAGAAAGGAGAGGCTCTCATGCCCATGGGAGAACTAGCTGAAGATTTTACAACTGCGTCTTTAAAGACAATAAGTCTTGCAACTACCTTTACTCCCACTGAGACAGATATTGGGGGAAAGATCACTTGCGAGGCTAAGTTGTCAGTTGAGAACCTGGAATCCAAGCAAAGGCAGACGATGCAAATACTTAATGTGAATTGTAAGTGTATTAAAGCAATGAGCTTGGGGTCCAAATGGTTTGCATATTGGTGTTTGAAAGCTTAGGATACATCACTGTGTGTGATTTTGGGGCTTCTCATAGGCTGAGGAGTACTGCACAGATCTAAAGAATCGTGCATATATTGAAAGCTTTAAAAAAGCACATTTCAGCCCCATCGATTTCAGTGGGCGATGGCAAAGCCTAAAAATGTTGGATTGTGGCCAGCATGTATCGTTTAAGCAAGCCTGGATGTATCACTGTTGTTTTGTGATTATACGATGCAAACATAAAAATAAATACTTGAGACAACTTTCATTTTTAAACAAATGTTAGCTTCTAAGATTACTAAAATGGGCTTGAAACAGGAGAAATCTCAGAAGCTGCAAGGGGAGGAGGGCAGAATTTTCAGATAATTCTCAAAGTGGTTATAGTACAGGGGACCACACTGTAGTGATCTCATCTTTCTCAGATCCATTCCTCTCAGTTTGGATCCATGGAAACCAAAAGTGCATGCCAAATGTGAAGCTATATAATTGATTTTACCTATAATGTTCACATGTATGAACCCAACCAAGACTTGGTATTGGTTTACGCGATACTCACAAATTATCTGTGGCCGATTTAGGAGCACAGGGGATAAAAGTATGTCACTACCATGATATCCTCTGAGGCCATTCGGACAAAGTGGAGACAACAGCGGAAACTCATTCATTATACCTGGACCCAGCTTTATTTGGGAATCTCTTCCAATCAGTTTTTATTGTTTTAACAATTTCACCTTATTTGAAAATGTGAACTACTTTGAAAATACTTGTGTGTCCAAGTGGTATATAAATTTGAGGAAGTAAAATATGGTCTAGACCTGATGGTTTGGGACTTCTTTATACTGCACTGGCTTTTGTTTTCAGGATTATTCTTATTGAAGTGTTTGGTGTTTATACAGCGCTTCATGTACTTTTCATAGAGAAACAATTTATGAATGTCAATAAACTCTGGATATTTACTAGTTTGTCACAGAGGAACACTGCAACTGACCGCCTCCATATTTTGGGGTGATTATGACTTTAACAGCAGCACTATGTTTCCCTAGTTTAACTTGGTGACTTTCTCTTTCTTCAAGATGGTCCACAGAAAACTCACATCACTGCTTCTCCAGGCATTACCCTATTGGAAGATGGCACTCTGATGCTTCACTGCATGACTGAAAGTAATCCCCCAGCAAGAATTTTATGGAAAAAACAGCTGGCTAATGAAACTCTGCAAAGCATTGGAAAAAATCATACCTTGTCAATTCCAAATGTTCAGTTTGACGACTCTGGAGTCTACATCTGTGAAGTCACAAATGAAGTCACCAACAAAACGGAGAACAGAACAGTGACTGTTTCTGTACAAGGTATACCATTGGATGGGTGGCACATTGCCTTGCAAGGTTGGGCTAAAGTGAAATGCACTAGTTTCTAGAATGGAGGTACAGGTAACAGGTTCAGATACAGAGTGCTTTCCTTCTCTGTCTCAGTCCTTGTATCTCTTTCTGACCTCCATCGCCCAGTCAGCAAGGCTGTTGTATCAACAGCCTTGTAGAACTTCCAGAATTCTGCCTTCATATTTATGTCCACCAAGGGCATGCTGGGGTAGAAAACTGTGGAAGTGGTCTATGTGGTGGGGAAGTTGTCAAGGTGTGCAGGCCCAGGCTCTTGACTCCCTGCAGTCTTTGAACCATATTTTCCCCCTTTTTTCATAGTTCTGTGTACCCTGCAGAACAATCACTGGGCTCCTGTGCGTGCAGATTTCCCATCCACTTTATCGTAGCTTAAAAAGGCACCATGGCTATCTATTGGAGACTAATAGCTTGGGACTGGAGAGGGAAAGACAGACACCTACAGATCTGAAGGGAAAGTACAGCAAAGGAAGCTTTATAAATGGATGCTTCTTCTCCTACAGGTGCCCCCAGGTTGCCAGAATTTTCTATACTTCCTTCTGCAACAGTGAATGAAGGAGAAAAGGTGACACTACAGTGCTCTGTGGAAAGTAGCCCTGCTGCCCAGATTGTCATAAGAAGAAAACTGGCCCATAAAGATGAGATACTTGAAAGCAAGGATGGAATTGTTCATATCCCAGGTGTGACCCTTGATGATGCTGGAAGCTATGAGTGTGAAGCAGAAAATAAATTCGGGAGAAGGAAAGTGGCAGGAATACTAAGTGTGGAATGTAAGTTGTTCTAGTAGTATACGATTATACCAGGCACTGATATATCATTGCTCCATCTTAAAAGCACTTCATGTGCACAATCTGCATAATTCCTCATAACAAACCTGTAGAGTAGGTCAGAGTTGTGTCTGTGGGAGTGCTTGTGTACACTGAACACAGACATGGGAATGGAAAAGGTCAGCTCAGCCCCGTCTCCTGCCTCCTGCATATTCAGCATAAAATTGGCACGGAGTTTACATGTGTTATTAACTGGATGTGTGTCAAGCTCTGTAGGTAATAAAGAGCCCTGCGTCACTTGCAGAGCTCTTCATTGCAGGGGAGGAGCCTGTGTGCAATCAGTCTGCATGGGAAGGATCCCTGCTGATATTGTGCTGGATACAGGTGGGCTGGAGATAGAGCCAGAAGATAAAGTCCTGTTCCCACTATGCACACATTTGTTGTTCACACGTATAATGCCTACAAGCTTGATTTCAGATATAACCAGGGCTTTTTTTGTAGAAAAAGCCCAGCAGGAACTCATTAGCATAATAGGCCATACCCAACAGCAGAAACTCATTAGCATATTGGGCCACACCCCTGACAGCACAGCTCATTAGGACATTAGGCCACACACACATGTTACCAGAAGTTGTGGTTATCCAGCCACACCCACCTTTTGCTTCTTATTCTGTTTACTTTGTTTGTTGTCAAAACCCAGGGCCTTTTTTGTGTAGCAGGAACTCCTTTGCATGTTAGGCCACACACCCCTAATGTAGCCAATCCGAATGAGTTTCTGCTGTTGGGGGTGGCCTGTTATGCTAATGAGCTCCTGCTGGGCGTGGCCAACTCAGGAGCCAGCCGGAACTCCGTTCCTGTGCGTTCCTGCCCCAAAATAGCCCTGGATATAACAAGTTGTGATGGTATTGCCTTAATGAATGAAACTTAACATTGACTTTTTTGGGGGAAAGCTGTTATTTAGAAAAATAAAACTTTAAACTGAAAATTTTGTATATCCAACCACATTTTAAATGTGTATGAAATTTCATTTCAGCTTCTGACACACTTCTACCGCCTATACAGTGTAGCAGCTTGTGCTACCTCATCTAATGTATATGTTCTCACATAGCAAACTTCTTTAAAGAAAGACAAGTTCTCTCTTATGTTGGATTATTTGAGAGGGGGAAATGCTGTCCTAGAAAGTCAATTCTTGCCTGCAGCTTTTGTTTATGCTCTTTAAGGAGCACCAAAGAATCAAGCAGTAAAGAGGAATCAAATTCTAAGGCATAATGGAAGATTGTGGATTATCTTCTTGTTTTAGTATAAATGAATCTTCTGGTCAAAATATTAGGCACGAGAGGTCAGGTTGGCATATGTGTTCTCCATTTTATCCTTATAACATCTCTGTGAGGTAAACTAGACTGACAGTGAGCAACTGGCCCAAAGTCACTCAGGTAGCTTTATGGCTTGGTGTGAATTTGAGTAAAATTGTGTCTCCTAGTTCGAGTTCAGCATTCTAACCATTACACCACAGTGGGTCATTCTCTTCTTTGTTGATGATTAGATCTTTATCATTGAATTGTATTATTAACACCACTATAATTTTCTTCTTCTTAGCTTTCCCCTCAACTGCTGCAACATTAACCGATCAACCAAAAAAAATTACTGAGGTGGAAGATTTTGATAGTACAAGTGCAACCTATAATACTCCACAATACAAGAGTGGCACTCTGGAAAGCAAACCTTCGCTAGCACCAAAGGACAGAAGTCCCACATTGTACAGATTATCCGGAAATGATACAATCACATATGCGGTGGATGTTTTGGCTGTCACCAATGGTACAGAAAAGATAGAAATTCTCATAGGTATGTCATTTTGCGCATGGATTGATGCATTCTGGATAGTTTCTGTCTGTAGATAATACTTATTCCATTTATCTCCTGCCTCTCTTCCATCATGGAGGTCAAAGCAGAGCCTGGATGGGTTCCTAGGAGGTCTCCCATCCAGGCACTGACCAGGCCCAGACCTGCTGGCCTTTAGCTAGGTGGCCATATCATGGTCCTTCGAACTGTATTCTGGGACCCTTCTATCCAGAAGCTCACGGTAGTAAGCCTATCTTGCACCATTGTCCACATCATGCCTGGGGCAGGGGCTCCCCTCTTTCTCTGCTAGTTTTACTGCTGCAATAAACAACACTGATAGGCCACAAACCTGCCCTGACAGAAAATGATAAAAGGTACAGGAAAGTGGAAGAAGGCAAACTTTTCAGCATGTGTCTTGTTTGATGGAAGATTGCTACATACAATACCACCGGCATTTTAGTGGAAGGAGAGGTAGGGCTCTATGGTGGTAGGGGACAAAATGCCCTCTGGCACCACACCTCATGACTATATAAATAAATTTAAACATAAATATAAAATGGTGGGACCTGGAATTCTCCTGAAATTATAACTAATCTCCCAGAATTCAGAGATCAGTGCGCCTGGTGGAAATGACAACTTTAGAGGGTGGCTCTATGATGTACCCTAGTGATCTCTGGGTTCCTTCTCCAGGCACCCCCCCCCCCCAAGTCTCCAGAAATTTCCTACCCCGGAGTTAGCAGCCCTTCCCCTGACTGAATGCCCTCCTGGGCAGGCTTGCAATTGCCTGTCCCTTCTTCTGGCTAATGAGCAGAGAGGACAGTTTCCTGAAGTGGCCTTTGATCTTAGGGTGGTCCTGTAAATGCAGGCTTTACCTTTATTCATTTAGCATCTTTCATCTCTTTCCCCTTCCATTCATACAGTCAAAACAGAAGAACCAAATTATGTGGCTCCCGTGATTATTGGGGTTTCTTCAGTAGCAACAGTGGCAGGCCCCGTGGCAGCGATATTGGTTTACATTTCCAGGAAGGCAAAGATCAATGGATCCTACAGTCTTGTAAAACCGCTGCAACCACAAGTATAAAGATCAAAGTGACTACAGATTTTCTAAGAGCTGAAGAAATGGACAATGTGCGTGTTCTTCTGAGCCTAGAGTGGCCTTTGGTGTCATTCAGAGTGAGACACATCAACTTCTCCTGCCTTGCAAAATCATGCACTTTAACAAGAATGTTGGTTTTTGTAATGAAGGGTTTTTGCAATGAAGGAAACAGAATGTGGGGGCGATCAGCAACAGTGGGTGAAAATACTGGCAGTGAACATCAGGGCAATCCATTATTTGCTAATAAGCTGCCTGCAAAGAACTCCTGGGAACATACCACCTTTCTTCTGTCTAGTGTGTAATTTCCAGAATTTATTTATCATAAAGTGCACAGAACTGAAAGTAAATTTCAGAACTTGCAATAAGCCTGTGACTACTGTATATAGAAATTGTCTTCTACAAAAACTGATGCAATAGTTGACACAGTTCAGAAAAAAGGTATGATTTAAATTATTATGGGGTGACTTTCATTTGAGTATGGGCATAATCCATCCTAGTTTAACACCATAAAGTCCCATTGGTTTCAGTCTATATTCAGTATGCACTCAGTCCTTCCACTGAGATCTATGTCCTTATTAATATGTGTTCATGACATATTATCCTTTACATAGCCATTCTGTCCTTCACTTGCAATAGCGCTTCTGAGAAGCTATACCAATGTGAATGACAGTTTTGTGAGAATTCTCACCCCCCTCATCGGACTACAGTTCTCAGGATTCTTTAGGGGAAGCTCCAACAATTCAAACTGGTATGAAAATGATAAGTTTAGTGTAGGTATTTTCTGCTGTTTAATTCTAGAGGACTGGCTAAAATTAAAGCTGGAATCCTTCTGAAAGAGGGATTTACTTCTAAATAAACACATACTGCTACACAGTATCCCTCACTTATACTAAGTGGAACCAATTTCATGGAGCTGGATTTGGAGGACAGACTATGTCTTTAGAGTGTAAAACAACTGGATGCTCTGTGGCTAATTAATTTCAGAGTTTACCCTGAGATACACTGTCAGTTACATTTTACACAAGGAAATTTGCATATTTTAAATGTGAAACTACCATTTTATTACCAGGAGAGGGGATGTTCTTGGGGGTTTTTTGGAGGGGGGAAAGTATGATTACTTTCTATGTTCATGGTTTTGGTACTTTTACTTCTTGTACAATAATATTTAAATATGTTGAAATATAACATTGTCTTCTGGGATAAGAGTGTACTGGTATGTTGTGTTTGGGTTTTGGGGTTGGTTTGTGTTTTTTTTTTCATTTCTTGTCTGTTAATCCACATTTCTCCTGGACAATAAAGTAGCCAAAATGCTGCAACTTGATGATGTGTTAGTTTTGTAAATTAAAAAAGTTTCTCCCTTTTAAAAGATTTACTGAATTATGTGGAACTTGCTGGACTTCATAAACTATCTAGAATCTGTAAAAGCTTGACTAGTTCACTTTGCATCCACCATCCCTAACACTCTTTGTGTATTCTCCTCCATCGGAATAAACAATGGCCATAGCTGTGGTTCCTGGGTTGATCAGTTCCAAACTGCCTCTTGTACCAGTGGCACTGCTGATGATATCAGTAGTATGTGCCTTAGACATGGGCTAATGAATTGCTTGAGACCAGCTCACTGGGCAGGCGACAAAATGGGGAGCAATCCATTGGGAACCAGTAGAGGGGAAAGTGTACATTAGAACTCTCAAAAGCCAAAACGTTAGTTTTATTTGTGCAATCCTTTCTCAAAAGCACAATCTGAGGCTTTGCATGAGGTAAAGAGGGGTACTCCCTTAAAGAACAAATTCTGAGTGCTAATAAAGGGCTACTTTTTTCTGACCTGGATGCCAAAATATCTTGACCTTGCCTTGTTAACTATTTTGTTTTGAAAGAGGAAATGGCATTTCCAGAGATGTGTTTTATCTAGCAATTGTAGTGGGTTGGTGGTGACCGTCAACTTGTCATACCACTGTGCCTGATATTTCAACAGTGTGATTCTTCTGCTGATTACTGATAGTCTACACCAACCACTATAGGACATGGGATCAGTAATCCCTGTGCTGTTATGTTTGTGGTAGGAGCTCTGCACCATGTTGTGACCATGCTTTATAGAGATCCCTGTGCTTCTCTGACCCCACCTGTGCATGTAGAATGTGCAGTAGACTTCTTTAAGCTCAGAGATGCACCTTAGTATTTTTTCCCCTTGGGGTAAAGCTTAAATCAGTTTGGTGTAGTGGTTAAGTGTGTGGACTCTAATCTGGGAGAACCGGGTTTGATTCCCCACTCTTCCACTCGCACCTACTGGATGACCTTGGGCAAGCCATAGTTCTGTCAGAGCTGTTCTTGAAAAAGAGCAGTTTCTGTCAAGAGCTCTCTCAGCCCCGCCTATCTCACATGGTGTCTGCTGTGGAGAGGGGAAGGGAAAGGAGTATGTAAGCCGCTCTGAGACTCCTTTGGGTAGTGAAGGGCAGGGTATGAATCCAATCTCTTCTTCTTCTTCTTCTTCTAAGTCATCAAAACCAGACTGCCCCAGGTCAGCATGCAGCTCAGTCCCTTGAATGTATGTTTTCATCTATGTGAGAAAAGGCCAGGATCCTCACCTGCTTTTCCTCAGTCTGTAGTATAAGCTTGCAATGTGTCTGGCTTGTGAGGAAACATATTCAGAAAGTATTTCTCAATCAAAGGATCATTTTTAATAGTCTTATTGCTAAGCACAATATAAAAACAGATATTGAGGTGAATCTACTGAAAGGTGAACATAGGAAATTTAAACAACAACAAAAAACCTTTACTCTTCAGACATTAGTCTCCCTAAGAGATCATCAGGGTTACCTCCAAGCATGCACCTAGAACTTACAAGAAAGATAAAGACTTGCGGCTTCTGGACCCCTATTCCAGGGATTCTGCAAGACTGGAGGGCATGTGTTCAAAACTCCTGACGAAACAAGTTTAACCAATCAACTTTCCCCCCTAGGATCCTAGGGAGTTTTACGCATGGGTTCAAAATGCTGAGATAACCTGTGGACAGAGAGGAAGGGGCTTCATGTTTTAGTATAGTTTCAAGGTACCAGCACCTGAGAACAGTTCCAGACTGAGTTTCATTTAAGGTTCTGGATAAACTGGATTAAGGTTCTGGATCTAGGTAAACTGCTTTGAAGAACTGGGGTAGGCCTCATTCTCTTTACCCTGGCTTCACTGTTTGCTTTGAAGCTATGCTTTGTTTACCTCAGCATATTCCAGAGTAAAAGCAGCTTCCAAGATGCTTTGTTGGTGCCCCACTAGGTTGACAAGGTGCTGTTGCAGATGCTGGAAGTGTGGCATCTATATGTTGATCTTTCTCTCTCCCTTGCCTCCTCCTATCTGGAATGTGAGCAGGCTGCATCTATCTACATGAAATGGCTTTGGAGGCTTTATTGTGAACTTGAAATAGGCCAGGACTGTTCTGTCATAAAACGTATGGATCTACCCATAAAATGTGTGCAACAGCAATGATAGTTCCCACAGGTTCTTTCACCCACCTCAGAAAACATATACCAGCCCCCGTCACACGTAAGGGTTTGGGCCGGGAGAGGGACGGATCAGGGGCGCAGCAAACAGGCGCGATCTCACCGCAACATCTGGGAAGCGGCTCGCACCCATCCCCAATCCGGCCCTTCAGGCCAAAAACCCGCTGCAAAAAAGAACCACCCCTAGAGGTGGACTTACCAGAAAGGCCGCGGCAAGCGTGGCCGTGGGATCGCCGGCGCATCCTTCTGCTGGTGCATCCAAGGCTCCTGGCCAAACTGTGCATGCTCACACATGCGCAGTTCGGCAGCCTCCCTCTCTGCTTCGTCACTTTCTCCCCGGTCTCCCCGGCATCTGATCGTGCTGGGGAGCAAGTGCGCGGCGGCTCACGGGATCTGTGTGATCCCGCCACCGCGTGCCTATTTTGGTGCGGCTTTCAAAAGCCGCACTTTGCCCGAGCATTCCCCCACCCCACCCGTGTGGCAGGGACCACCTATTCTTGGTTTCTTGGTTTGTGAATACCGCTACTGAGGAAGTTGTTATCTGAAGTGTGGTGAAATTAATATTCATGACTTGTGTAGATTTAGATGTACAGGTCTGGAGGGGAATATTTAATTTTACACTCTCCCAGTACTCAGATACTTGTGTAAAATAGATTTCCTACAAAGAACAAGGCTGTTAAAACAGAGTTTCCTGAAATAGCTCTTTCCGCAAGGAATTGGCCTGGCCACATCTGATGTGTATAGATAGATGGTAAGTAATCAGCAAGACTAAAGTGCCTTTCCTGAAGCACAGAGGACAATCACAGACAACGACTGTGTCCTTCTGGAAGCAGAAGGCTTAGATTTTCCACCAGGTAGAATGGGTGGAGTAGTTTGATGGGAAGAGCAGAAATAACAATTCTTTTATTAGTAATCAGAGCCCTCAGATGAAGGGCTGGAGGACAGGCAACTGTCTGGGCTCTGGGAAGGGAAGGGTAGAGGTCATCTGGATTGTAAGAAAACAGGTATCCAGGAGATGATTCACTTTTTTCTTAGGAAAAAAAAGATGGAAACAAATTTGGTAATTTGAAGATTATTTTGGCTATCTTACATTTATTGACATAAAAATTTTAGATCTAGGAAAGAGGATATTATTACTCATTTTAATTCCCCCCCCCTGCTCAGTAGATGTCAGACATTTTCTTGCTCAATGGGATTTTCTTCTGCTGTAACCAGCAGCATTAATTACAAGTAAAATAACATTTTTAGGGAACCTTCTCTTCAACTAGGAGGGTTCAGTTCTTCAGCCCTCTGATACGTATTTGACAAAGCTACCAAGGGTCCAGAAGTGAAGAAGTGAGCAGTGACTCACTAAAGCTCACCCCCTGCCCCATATTTTGTTAGTCTTTAAGGTGCTACTGGACTCTTGCTCTTTTCTACTGCTACAGACAGACTGACCATGGCTACCCATCTTGATCGATCAAGGGTCCTCTCCTAAAACTGGAGTGAACTGAGGAACATGAATATCCTTTTGTTGTAGCCTCTGCCTCCCAGCCCAATATAGAGCCAAAACCTCCAAAGGAAGTTTAGAAAACTACTAAGGTGGCAAATGTTAAAAACATCAATAATTATAGACAAAAGTACACACGTTTATTTCAAAACCAGTTAAAAACCTTGTAGGGGCCAGAGTAAAGCCTTATAATGTAATTAAAGTGACAAATGCACAAAAGGAACCATAAATGACCTGGTGCGTTTCGGCCCAAAAGAGCCCGCATCAGAGGCCAAATAGTACAGAGTAGAACATACAACAAAGCCCCTGTTACACTTGTAAGGCAGTAAACAATTGATATAGGATGCGGAACTAAATGACACAAAAAAGATATGTGAGGCCACAATTGTATCTGGCCTTATGTCAGTGGCAGTTACGTATACTGCAGAAAGTAATATTGGAATATATGTACCTTCCAGTTTAGGTCCTAAGATTACAAGTACAATCATCTTATCAGGGCCAATGTAACATATTGAAGGTACATATTGATAATGTACAACAGCCCAAAGAAAACAAACAAAACTTAACACAACGCTTACTAATACTTTTCCTAACTTCAATCCATTGACCTGAACACTGCCTCCCCACCATGATTACATCCATCCTTTCCCATTTTTCACCCCATGCTTGGCTTCCACTGATGGAACCCAGTGGGTAAGGCAGTGGAGAGTTCAGCTTCCTTGATGTATGTGCACTTCTTATTGTCAAAAAGTGGCACCTATTCACAGCCCCCTTTAGATGCAAACAGGGTAGACATGTGAATAAACCAAGGGGCCTCTGGTACATCTAGTTTGGCCCCATAAATACAATCATAAGGGAGCAGGGGGTACTTCCAGTATGCTGCTTCCAAACCTTGTAGGGTTTTGAAGGTCATAATCAGCACCTTGAATTGTGCCCAGAAACAGATCAGGAGCCAGTGGAGATGGGCCAGGATTGCAGTGATACGGTCCTTACGACCCACTCCACTTGACAACCTGGTTGCAGCACTCTGCACCAACTGAAATTTCTGAACACTTTTCAAGGGTTGCCTCATGTAGCGTGTTTCTTAATCATCTCATATAGGGCCGTTCTAAACCAGATGTTATTAGTTGTTGGCCTGATTTCAGGTAAAGTGATACAGGGAAGGGAGTTTTGTACAGTGGATTTTCTTATCTGAAGCACTATGGTCATTTCAAACAGTGCCACTATTCCCTCTACCACCCTTTTTTGCCACACAATCTTTCTTGGACTTTTTAAAAAACATTCTAAGGTGAGTCAATGCAACATTCAAATGGAGTCAATGCATCTCAGTG